GTTATGGAGCTAGAACTGATGATTGCAGATAGGGGTTTTAAGATTGCCTGAAGATTTATTTTAGCTGGAATGTAATGAAAGTGAAATTGGGACCAGGACCATTCCCAAGTTTTCAAAACACCAAAAAACCCCTACACCCTGGGTAAAATCCTGACCCTTCAGAAGCTTTGTCACTGGCTTTAATGTGGGATTTCATGCCCTTTGCTCCCCTCCAAAAGAAAGTCCCTGTAAATTTCTAACTTCCACGGTTCAGTAAAATCTAAGAAAAATGCAACGCATCTGTTTGTGCTGCTACTTTGCCATGTATTATATTCCTGTACCTTATAAAATCACTGACATGAAAAAGATACGTTGTTGCCATTGACCTGTGTACCACAGTATATACCATTTCCCTGAAAGGCTGCTGGGATTGAGCCTTTCTTACCCTTACTCGCTTTCCCTGCATGGGTCTTCCTCATCTTGAGCCATCAGGTCTCTGCAGCTCTTCAGCAGTCTGAGATGTTGAGGCCTATGTTCAAGCTCCCGGTCTCCCTAAATTATTTCTTCTTGCCCTGTGCAGTGTTTTCATCTCTGAAATAGCTTTTGTGTAATAAGGCAACAAAACTTGGGAAACTATATTGCTTCTGGCTGTGGCCAAGCTATCCCTTGAGCATTGCAAGGATAATTTCCTGTGATTCATGTTGCTTATCTGCCCATTCTCCAATCTTTTCCAGCTAATTTGGATTCAGTTTTATTACCCTAATCCCACTGTATTTTGCATGATGAACAGATTTTACCTTCTTGTAATAATTTCCTTCTGGAAAAAATATGTAAGTAGAAAATGGGTCCAAGAAGCAATTTTTGTGACACTTGGTAACATTCTTCACACAATCGGTTTACTGCTTCTGACCTGCAGGCAAATTTCTCACTGTTTTTCTTTGTGATGATTCTGTTTTCTGTTTGGTTTCCTTCATCATCCTGGTCTGCCTGGTGTCATCCTGGCCTTTGTGGTTTATTTCCCATGTTTCTTTTTCTGTATGCCACAAGCAGCTCAATGCTGCTTATTTGCCCCATTTACATGCATGGTTATTGCAGCTACATCTGCTTCTGCTTCTCTAGGAGCAGCCTGTATATCCAGCCTTGCATCTCGGCCACAGCTGTACTTTTTCCATCAGGCAAAATGTTCTTGTGTTGACATCACATGTACCAGCCTGTGTCCCCTACCTCTCCCACAGCTCTCTCAGCACTTGCACTGCCAGCTCTGTCTCACAGCTTCCCTTTGAATCCCTGTTAGGAGATTTAGGGGTGGGAGAGGTGATCGACAGTGCCTGCCCCTTGCTGCCTAGCCTGGAAACCCTGGAAACAGATTCTCCCAGCATGACATGAATGTGTGTCTTATGCAGACACAAAATTAGATGTCATTAAGACTTGAGCCACTGCAGCCAAGCCAGAAGAGGGTTTCTGTGTCACTGAGGTGAAGAAAAAGGTCATTTTGGAAACATTTGTCAGTAGGAAGTCAGACACTTTCCGTTCTTTATGTTCATTTATAGATTCTGGCACAATAGAGAGGAAACAAATTACTCTATATTTAGCTGATAGCTCCCACCTTCTTATCAGCAGGAGCTTGTCTTACCTCTCGGCAATAGGTCCAGGATCATTTCTGTGGGATCTCGAAGTCTGCAGAGTAGGTGTACAGCCTCTGAGAAGAGAGATACTAGATGTGATAGAAGAGGCAGCAGACCTTTTGAAAATGCTAGCCATAGGAGGAAGATTAGCATCAAAAGGAAAATTGCCTCCAAATTTGTTTCCTCTAAGGGAAAAAAGCATTCTGCTTGTTCTTACATGCCAGAAGAATTAGGGAAAAATCCTGGCTCCAGGATTCTGCAGTCACTGGCAGAATTCACATTCATGTCTTAATGCTAGGTTTGCCCCTTTAATTAGTCTTTCTTCAAAGAGTATCCTGTAAATCCTTAGACATGTACAAATTGCTGTCTGTTCCCATGACCCATTGGTTAAAGTTTATGGAAACAAAGCACATTGTTTGAAGGAAGAAACTCTGCCTCAAGAGTACAGGTTTTGATGTAAGCTTTTACTACTAAGACAGTTCTTGACTTCTCATATATTTGGAAGAATTTACTGGAGAAAGGATAAAAATGTAATTTATTGAATAACTCAGTAGCTTGGGGTTGAATGAGTCAAACAGTTGCATTTAAAAGACATCAAAGCTTTTTGTGGTTGGGATCATTTAAAAATATAGTAGCAAGATACTATCTTAGATCTTTTTCATACTGGAAGTAAATGATTTTGTTTTCAATTGCTCTTGGAACAAACCGAAATTTTGAATAAATTAAGAGGATGCAAGTGTATACAGCATAGGTGTAACACCTTGATCCCAGTCAGTTTGAGAGGGGGACATACTGTGTAACTGTACTTTGTCTGGGGTTGCAGGGCAAAGACATGTACCTTATACTGGAAAATGACATGCTGAACCTGATTGACCCCATGGACCGCACAGTTCTTCATTCGCAGCCCATTGTGAGCATCAGAGTCTGGGGTGTGGGTCGTGACAACGGCCGGTGAGTCTTTGCTCTCCTTATCCCTCTTGACTTGGTGCTATTTCTGTCTGCTGATACAGAGTACACATACAGCTGGAGCAAGTTAGGTATCAAACCTATTCATTTGATTGAGTAATTGTGTGCCAGGGGCTATGAGATGGTGGGTAAATTCTTCTTTTTCTTGCTGGTGTTACTTTATAAAATCTCTGCTAGTCGTAGTGTATCATTTATGTGCTGTTTTGTTAAACCTGTTTTGAGCAAGCCTTTCTCAGTCAGGTGCATAAAACTGCACACGCAACATTATTTTGTTTCAGATTATATATAATACTTTTTTTATATAAAATGATATTGTCAAATATGTCCCATAGTTTCTCCTGGCTGTGTGAATGCATGTCTTCCTGCTGGTCCAAGTTAAATATGCAATTTACACTCTGTCTGTATGCGTATGTTTCCACTTTCTTGAGGTATTTGATTTGATGGAGAAGAAAGTTGGGTTGAGGGAAAAGTAATGGCTTTAAGCCATTACTATTACTTAAAGATCTTGATGTAAGAAAATTCCTAAGGGTGTTGCAGAAAACTCAGGTTTGTGCCTGAAACCTGACTGCCTGTGAGCTGAAGTTCTTCCCTGCCACAGAGAGCAACCAGGAGTGCGTGCTAAAGGCCTTCCTGCCCTGGAGGCAGTCTTTCCTTAGCTTTCCTTCCTCACCGGTCTTCTTTTTGGTGGCATCCTTCTTTCTCACATGACACTGCTGTGGGAACAGGGTTATGAAGGTAATTTATTTAGAGCCGGACAGCGAGCTGTCTCCCTGTCCTGTTGAGCATTTTGATGTATCAAAAACATTGCCATTCACATTGAATAATTCCAGGATCTTTGGACAGTACCCATCCTGACACATGAGTAGTAAGGACTGAATAATGATAACGAGCTGCTGCTTTTTGTGTCCATGTTTGATTATTGAGATATTTGCAGTAGTAGGGTTGTTTTTTTGTCTCTGACTTTTGGTGGGAAGTACCATTTTGGACCTGAAAAACCTTTCCCAGTAAAAGATTTTCTGAAACTTCTTTAATGCCCCCCGAAAATTTCTGATTCTCTCTGGCTAAATTTCCAAAAGGAAAGGTGACCCAGTTCCATGTTCCTAAATTTTTTACTTCTATAAATGACTGATGGTTGGGGTTTGTTTTTTACTGGTTTTCACTTCTATTGGTGCAGATTTTTGAGAGATCTAAAAGGGGGCAAATCCAGTTTGAAATGATGGGAAGTAAAAATGTTTTAACTTCTTATGAATAAACCATTACAGTGCTTTGTTTGCCTCAGAAAATGAGTCCATTGCACATTTCCCTTCAAGTCAGATTTTGTAGTAGCTTGCTTTGGTCAGGAAATAAATAGAGCATCTTAAGGGGCATCTAAATGTGATGCAGCTTTACAGAGTAAAGGAAGCCAGCTTTGCTCTTTGCTTTTCGTTAGTTTTTTTTAAAGCATTTACAGTTCTCTTTTCAAATCTTTACCGTTCTTTGGAAAATAAAATCATTCCATTCTGTTATTTATAAAATAAGAAGATGAGTCACGTTTCTCCAGGCTGAGTACCTGCTTCTCCTAAAGACAGAACTGATCATAGAAACTTCGATGTTGGAAGGGGACAGTTAAGAGAAACGTACCTTTTGCAATCACGTGGCACCAAGAACATTGTAAGCTTTTGGTGAAATGTATCTGGGGGTGGGAGGCAGTAGCAAACTCTCCTAGATGAATGTAAGCCCTGTCAGTAGGACAGGAGTTGGGGGGGAAGGGTTGTGCGTGTGCAGGTTGTTCTGTCTGCTCTGACCTATGGATATGCTGTCATATTCCCCAACATTTACCAAAAGCTACATACAATGCACAGGGAAAAGCATCTCTGATCCCACTCCTGCCTATTTTCATGCCCTATCTGGGGACCAAAGATGAATTCCAGTTCTCTTGACACTTCTGCAGAAATTCATGTCTCTATTAAGAAAAAAAAATGTAGTTGTGGAGTATGTGGGAGAAGTACAGATCCAAGTTTAAAAAAAAAAAAAACAAAACACACAAACAAAACCAAAACCAAACAAAAAAAAAAAACCACAACAACAAAAAACACCCCAACCAACAAAAAAACTCCAAACAAACCCAGTGTTCTCCCTCTTGGTCATAAAAGGTAGAGGTCAAAGTTTCCTCTACTGTTTTCCTGAAAAGATATTTTATTTGTGACATTGACAATACAGAAAACGTGGCAGAGCAAGTAAACTAATAATTTGATGGCACAGTAATGTTCTTAGCCACTTTTATTGGAGTCTGCTTTTTTCATCATAAAAAGTTTGATTTCAGAGCTTTCCTATTCTTAGCGCTTCGTCAGAATTTTGATGCTTCTACGGAAATTTTGCATCCAGTATGACTTTCAGGACTGGAGCCCACTCTTTTTGAAATTTAATTTGCTTAATGTTTTATTGACCCATGTGAAAAAAACAAGATTGTAGGAAAAGCAGTGTAGCCTTTATTTGTAAGTAAACTCAGACTGCAAGTGATGTTAAATAGCAGAAAACCCAAAAGACAAGCAGAAAGAACAAACTTATGACTGAGTAATCAGATGTATAATGTGTTTTGGGCATAGAGAGGTTCAGTATAGGAAACATGCTTTGAAGGGTAGCATAAATGATGTAGCATTTGCTGAAGAAGCAGTAACACACAAGAAAGAGCATTTGGTGACAGGTGGACCTGAGCTGAGAAAACTATATTGTTGAGCTGGAAATTACACTGCATCTCTTTTCCTGTATACGTCAGCATGCAGCCCTTGGGCTCATGGCTCATCCTGGTAAAATTACCTATTGGTCCTGAGGTGAGAAACAGCAGAGCCATTTACTGATTGCAAGAGCAACTTTCCCTGATTGTGAGTTTGCCATCATCAGAGAAAAGTGAGGGCATCACATTGCTGCTCTGGTGAATTAATTGACCAGGAAGTTGATAAAATCCCCATTTTGGGATGAAACTCTTCCAGAAGTTGTTGCACATGAATTTTGTTAATTAGCTACGTCTTCTGGTCCAAGAGCTTGTATAATAAAATATATTGGATTTGTTGTGAAAGGCAGTGTTTCGATTTTAAAATATTGTAGAAATGTGTATTTTCCTCTATTTTGAGCTATTTGAACCCCATAACAATCTGCAGGTCCTCCTTTTTAAGTCTGTTTTGCCTGTAGTAATTTATTTGGGTACGTTTTGCTTTGGAAGATGAAGAGGTTTTCTAATGACACCTGACCAGATGATTTTTTAAGCTATGCCATGATGAAAGATTGATGAAATAGAGATCTGCTGATGAAAGATTAATCTGAGGATGTGTCTGCTAACTCACCTCAGGCAGAAACATCTTCTAGGAGGCTGTAATCACTTGCGCCATACATTATCCTGTTATCCTGACCTCTAGATTTATTTTTTTTAACAGTTCTGTGATAAACATAAGCTTCATTGTTTTGTTGACTCAGGCTGTGTGGTGGTTTTGTGTTTTGAAAGGTAGTGTCTCTTATTTTCAATTAATCAGTCAGTAAAATATGTTTGACCTTAAGAAAGGCTGGAGTGCCTTCGTAAGATCGTGAACAAAAGCAGGTTCCCACAAATTGGTGGTTATGCATGTATGAATGAGTATGGGTAAGTCTAGACTTTGAGCTCCTATGATACATATATATGGGCATTAAAGGATAATAAATGTACTGTATCTGTCCAGCCTTTTGGCAGACTTGGTTTCTTAGGTGATACGGTGTGATTTTAAAAAGTAAATGCCACTGTACTCTGTACAGTCTTCCTCTCCTGCTGTACTGAAAAAAGAGCCATGACGATTCACTTAGTATTATGTGTAAATAAGAAAAGTCCTCGAACTCACTTAAATAGTTTGATTTCAAGATCAATAAGGTCATTGTCACATGGAGGATTTGTGGTATCGCAGGTGTATCTATCAGTGAGTAATTGTCAGTGCTGTGTTTGCTGCTTAACAAGCCACCCATGACATGTTTTTTTTTTTCTGGGCTTTAAAAGCATGTTGGAAAATATTAGCCTACTGAAGCTATAAAGGGGTGGTTCTGTTCACTTGCAAACTGCAGGACTGTACATTAATCATTCCTCAGGTTGGGTTTTGTCTTCTCCGCTGCTGGTGCGTGCCCTTTGCTTTCTGAGCAGGTCGCTAACAAGGAAGAGAGAAAAGGTAATGGCCCATCAATTTTGTAAAAGAGTTTCCATTAGCACATTTTCCTGATTCCTCCTTTATCTTCATTGCTCTTCTACCAATCCAAAGCCCGACTCAACTTTTAAAACCTCTGCAGGACTTTAATTGCCTGCAGATCGAGGTTTCTTCTCTCCTGGTGTCTCCATACAACAGCAGTATATTCCAGCTGAAAAATTCACTCGTTAGCTGGCCAGGAGGGCTGCGGGTGGGTTTAGGAGACAGCTTTGATGGGACTGAATATGGAACTGGTTACAGAACAGTCTGGGCACCTGGTGTGTTGGACTAAACATGTAGCGTGTGTCTTTGTTCATCCACTGGCTTTATCACCATGTAGTGCAGGTTTGTTTTCTCTGTGTAGTTTGTGTGTTTCCCTGACAGGCTGAGGAGGGAGCGTGATTGCTTTTGGTCCTTAAGTGATGGAGAGGCAGATTCTCTGATATTACTGTTTTTGGATCATAGGCAAAGTGTGAAAGCATTGCACTCCTTCCTCTGCCCTAATAATGCCCATTTTGTCAGGTGGCGGGGGGGAGATCTCTTTGTCTGCATGCATGTCCATTGCCCTGCTTCTTTGAACTGCTGCTGTTTTTCTGCCACCTGGACATCAGGGAATAAAATGAGGCTGGGAATCAAAAAGGGGAGAAAGGCAGAGAGGGTAACTGGACTGAAGAAAGTAGGACAAGGCACGCACCAAAGATGAGGCTCAAGCTGCTTCAAAAAGGGAGAGCAGACAGCTAAATGGATAGATGCCTCAAGTCAGATGGACATAATCCTGTAAGGCTGGAAGAGAAGAAAGTCCTAACA